GACATTGCATGTAATGATAATTGTATCTTAATTGAAATTACGAGAATAAGAATTGATAGTAATTTGACAGCAATATTTTATTGTTAAAAATGACAATGTGCTTCATTTGTCACAATCACCTTATCAATTATTAACATTTCAATACTGGACAGATGAGTTTCTTGTTCCAGCAGCCTTCATGATTGCAAACAGCGTCCTCATTCATGTCCAGTTCCCTTAATCAATTCGATATTGTCGACATCGCGTTGTAAACAATGTTGTTATTATGTCGTGTATACATCGTCTACATTATTGTTTCTACATAACAACATTGTCAACGTCGACATCGCAATGTTAACAATGTTGATACGATATCGTGTTTACATCGTCTACATTGTTATTGTTTTTATATAACAACATTGTCATCGTCGACATCGCAATGCTGACAATGTTGATACGATATTGCGTTTACATCGTCTACATTGTTATCGTTTCTACATGACGACAACGTTGACATAGCAATGTAAACAATGTTGATACGATATCGCGATTACATCGTATACATTGTTATCGTTTCTACATATTTACATTTCCTGTATTTTTCTACTGAGCCAACTGTGAAATTAATTTGAAAACCATTTTCATGTATACTCACGCGTAGAAATATACACGGAAAAACGTGCGTTAACGTGACCTCACAATAAAGTGCAGCGACGTTAATTAAAATGCAACGATATAGGGCAGCAAGAAATTCAAATATTGAGTATATTTAAGTTGCTTCTTAAGATGTAAAATGTAAATATAAGGAATGTTTTTAAACATCAGTGTGAGTTATTGGAGTTATTGGTGTGTGAATTAGAAAGACTAGCACATAGGCATATTTTTCATGAAGCGCTAGCATTGGGATGTCGATGTGAGTTATTGGAGTTACTGGTGTGTGAATTAGAAAGACTAGCACATAGGCATATTTTTCATGAAGCGCTAGCATTGCGATGTCGATGATGTAAACGATGTAAACGATGTAAACAAGATTTTGAAAAAGGCAATGTTGACACGATGTCGACTCGATATCGACAAACATTGCGATGTCGACAATGTGAAAAATGTAAACAAGATAAAAAGAAGTCAATGTTGATACGATGTCGACTCGATATCGACCAACATTGCGATGTCGACAATGTGAACGATGTAAACAAGATTTTGCAAAAGGCAACGTTGACACGATGTCAACTCGATATCGACCAACATTGCGATCTCGACGATAGGAACAATGTAAACAAGATAAAAAGAAGGCCATGTTGACACAATGTCGACTCGATATCGACTAAAATTGCGATGTGGACGAAATGAACAATATAAACAAGATAAAAAGAAGGTACTGCTGAGACGATGTCGATCGATATCGACCAAGATTGCGATGTCGACGATGTTAACATTGTAAATAAGACTAATTAAGAGAATGGCAATGTTGAACACGATGTCGACTCGATATCGACCAACATTGCGATTTCGACGATGTAAACAAGAAGAAAAAGAAGGCAATGTTGACACGACGTTGACCCGATATCGACCAACACTGCAATGTCGACGATGTTAACAAAAAAAAATAAGAAGGCAACGTTAACACGACGTCGACTCGATATCGACCAACTTTGCGATGTCGACGAAGTGAACGATGTAAGCAACAGAAAAGGAAAGGCAATGTTAACAAGACGTTGACGTTATATTGTTAAACAATGTAGTATAAAGAGAGATAAACAAAGGTATTATTGTCAGGTTAAATATTTTATGATATTAGGAGGACTGGTATTTTTACAGCGATGTCGACAATATCGAAAAAACATCGTGCACTGGACATACCTCAAATTTTCATCACAGATAGGAACTCTATGCTTTTCAATGTATTTAGCTTTGTATTACTATAGGACAGGGAGATATCATAAAGCATTGGATATAACTAACCTGACTAAACAAAGACTATCCGAGCCCCATGTTATGTATAACCGTAGGGGAGAGAACTGTAAATATAGGGAATATGTGATTGGCCTGTCTTTGTCAAGGAGAATGAAAAATGTTTGGGTGTTGGCAATTAGATTTCATCCTACGATAAACTTTATTGAAGAATTACTTAGTATCATTAGAAGAATCCGCTGCGATTTAACATTCACTTAATTTACTTATTTCACCATTTGTAATAGTAGAATGTGGTCAGTGTTATCTCATTATAGACTGGGTAATAGATCCCAGTGTTTACAGTCACTGACAGACCTACAGACACTGCTGTTCTATGATGACGGGACCTATGTGGCTTTAGCATACAGAGACCTATCCTGGCAGATACTAGGGATCTGTCAGCAAGTTGTGGGGACTTACAGGGGACTTTACGGTCTTATGAAGAGTCGCTTAAACAGGATCCAACTCATAAATTGCAGAAAGCTGCAAATCTTAAAATAAGATATATACAAAATGAGTTGTGTAAAAGTACACTAGAATGATTTTAAATTTCTGATTACCACTTCAATTTTGCTGTATATCCAAAAAAAAAAAAAAATGTACAAAGTACTTTCCAGAATGTCTTAAACGCTATCAGAGAATTAAGGGAACAAAACTTGTACTATACTTTGTTGGTTTGGTACATATGCACCTTTTCATACTTTTTGTGTTATTGCATTATTTTTGTTTTTGTTTTGATGATATATATTTGTACATGATTGTATGTATTCTACATTGAAAAATAAAATCAAAGTTAACATTACGTTTCTTTTCTGCCCTGGTGATTGCGGACGGATTATGTAAATCCGCATTTCTGTGGGGGGAGACTGCAAAGATACATGCCAAGGTGTAATCCTACTGATATCTTATTGTGAGTCTAAATGATAAGTCCATATATTGTACATTCTGTTAACAAAATGTATACCATTGGCTGTCTATTATTCATTAGTCCATTGGTTGGCATAACGTTTACCATAATATCCATGTGTTGTCTTGTCCTTACTGACATCTCTTAAGGTACGACAATAGATATGGCTATTTTTTTCCCCAAATTGAATTTTTCTGAAACTTTAATAATTTGTTTTAGGATACAAAATCTCTCTTTATATATGATATAAAGGAAATTCAACCACACATTTTATGCCCACAAAGTCTGAAATATGGCCTATCAGACCCCTGTACGAAGATTGTGAAATCAGACATTCGACTTGAGAATGAGCCTTATTTCAGAACTAGATGCTGTCATGAGACAGTAATACCCGCACTAAGGTGTTTGCCTCCAAATGCACACTCCTTCAAATTGGGCTTTACCAAGAAAAAAGTCAATATAATTCAATAATTTACATAATACATGGGTACATCCCACTAATTATTTTTAGAATTGGTAGGAGAAGAAAGTAGTGCAGAAAAAATTACAAGTTCCTTAATTTGCAGACTTGCATAAAAAAAATTGGGCAGATGTACTGAATTGAGCCTCACACTTGTTGATAAGGAGTATCTTTCCTACCAAAAAAGCTTGGAAAATGTAATTTATCAAGAAGATCAGCTGAATTATTTTGTGTATTATAACGCCAGTGATAATTCTGAAATTCCCCTACTTTCACTTTCGTTTTTAGAGGTCCCCGCAGACAGACGCATTTTGCCGGAAAACGAATCTGACATGCCACCTCGAGATTTTAACCAAGGAAAGACAAGTTGATGTGCTTTGATTTGAGGGGTCACTCACTTCTGAACGAAAATTAGGGACATAGCTATGAGAAGAAACGTTAACATTGTCGCCTATGGGAAAACAATTAGTGGACTGTACCCATATTAGGAAGCCCATAAGTAAGTGAAAGATGTCATAAATCTTGAATTTATTTCAAAGTTGGTGTTTTCTATTATTTTCTATTGTTCAAATTTATTAAAAAAACAATTCTTTAATTGTTGATACACATTTTTAAACAAATTGATTCATAAATAAAGTGTTTACCCCCCCCCCCCCCGAACAATCAACATGCTCATACATGTATCACCCATTGTTTACACATGTATCATGTAGATTAAATGTATCGATTTATATAATTTATTTATTCAGAATCATAGATGTATAATTTGATTAAGAAGCAATTATATAGAAGTACATGCTCCACTGTGGTTTATTTTCAATACACAAAAATTCACAAATGAGTTCGGGATCGGTATTCAATCGGGGTCAAGGTCGAAGTGAAAGTAGACTTAGCAGAAAGTTATCAAAACTGTTCAGTGCAGTGTTTAGCAGTATATAGGTGATGGGCATTTGTATTTTACACAGGAGGTAAGAGGTATACCTTAGTACAATATTTGTAAATAACAATTTAATGTTTTTGGAACATGTCGATGATCGGCACGTCACATACATGACATACATTATTTCAGATCAGTTGCGCGGTGAAGCTGGTTACAGTTGTCTGGGAGTTAAACGATGTGTGTGAACATGCACATTAACTGATTTTTCTCATATTTTTTAGCAATTGCATTACATGTATTTGTTGAATGTACAATTATTGTCAGTAAAACATGATTTTTACCTATTCTGCTGAATTAACTTAATTACCAATGTTAACAGTGTGATTTCAGGTGGGAGCAAATTAATCATTTTTTAAATTAATTAATTTCAAGTAATGGGCATAAAAGGAATATGGTAAAATTGTACGCGTTGAATGTCTGTGTGTCTGTCTGTCTGCAAATGTAATATTGTGCCATTTATTGTATTGATTTTTTTTTAGGTTAATGGTGATTGGTGCAGGAAAAACATGAGGTCCATGCAGATGGTGTTTAAAACTATTGGCCAGCAAATGCACACCCATTTGAATACATCTTGAAACAGCACCAGCAAAATGTGACAGTCAGCAAAATGTGTAAGTTAAAGTTTTCTAAAAAAAAAAAAAAAAAAAAATTCATTGAAGTGGGGGATGGGGTGGGGGTGAGGAAATTTACATATTTAATAGGTGATCAGAATGTGAAAGTATTTAGCTATAACTAATCTGTACATGCACTGCTATATATATTTTGCACTTACATAGATTTTTACTTGTTTAAGAATTTCAAATTAATTAGATCTACATCTTTGTTTTGTAAATTATGCATTATTAAGATTACACGAATATAAGAATTGAAGTTTCATGAATATTTGACAGTCGACATTATGCAATTTGTCAGGAAATTCAAAATTTTGTCTCATTTTCCTACAAATTACAAAATGGTTACCATGGAAACAAAACAACTTTAGTGGATTATTTATTTAATCCGCAAAACCACATATTTTCATTTTTTAAAGTTAATAATAGTATATAAGCAATGATTTTGTCTTATATGAAAAGTACGGGAAAAGTAATGATACACATGTATTGAGCTATCCATTATTATGATGTCATTGTGACGTCATAGATGAGTAAATTTGCATTGGTATAAAAATTGCTTTGAAACAAATGATTCTATATAGGATTATAAAGGCTTATAACTTTCTTATTCATAGACCAAATTTCATGAATGATACATCAATGGACAGGAAATAATCAGTTCGTTTTTATTTTACTACTTTCGGGGTATTTGTTAACTTCATTTTTTTGTCATTTCTGGAGAAACTATGAATTAGAGGGTGAAAAGTGGTCATATTTTGTGCGGAAATGCATTAATTTTTTAAAATAAGTGAAATTGACCCAATTAAGTGCTTAATTATGATTTGACTATATGTATTTAAAGTTATGAAGTTGATTAAGAATGGTATAAATGTGTTAACAGGCTAAAATTTGAGTTAATACTTGGGTGCCGTTTTGGCTAGATTGGAGCATTTTTTAAGGATATTACACATAGAACTGTAAATGCTGTAAAATCTTAATTAATTGTTGAATTTTCATGAAACTTGGCATGATGTCTCTACTTATGCTTTAGATTGACAAACTGTGTGAAATATTGTAAAATCAAAAAAATGCTTTTTCATATTGGGTACATCCCACTAATTATTTTTAGAATTGGTAGGAGAAGAAAGTAGTGCAGAAAAAATTACAAGTTCCTTAATTTGCAGACTTGCATAAAAAAAATTGGGCAGATGTACTGAATTGAGCCTCACACTTGTTGATAAGGAGTATCTTTCCTACCAAAAAAGCTTGGAAAATGTAATTTATCAAGAAGATCAGCTGAATTATTTTGTGTATTATAACGCCAGTGATAATTCTGAAATTCCCCTACTTTCACTTTCATTTTTAGAGGTCCCCGCAGACAGACGCATTTTGCCGGAAAACGAATCTGACATGCCACCTCGAGATTTTAACCAAGGAAAGACAAGTTGATGTGCTTTAATTTGAGGGGTCACTCACTTCTGAACGAAAATTAGAGACATACGCTATGAGAAGAAACGTTAACATTGTCGCCTATGGGAAAACAATTAGTGGACTGTACCCACATGTATTCATCAAATTGAGCATAATATTCTCAGGTGACCATGTGACCCATGGGCCTCGATCTTATAGGTATTTCATATTCATAATTCATTACCAGTCTGAAATTAAACAACAGAATTTAATTAGTGATGTAATTTAGGTTCGATAAAGGGGGGATATAAATTTTTGACCCATAATTGGAACATTTTAAATCTATTTTCTCATATAGATCAACAACAAATAATATAATTCAAATTAGTGCAAAGCCTTTTTGATGATTTTTTAAAATGTACAAACTTTTTATATTTGATTAGGCAGAAACACCTTGAAAGCTGCCATATACCCAATCAATTTAGTCAACCCCCTACCCCTCTCCCATCAACACACACACAAACACCCTATTTGCCTGTATTTGGAAATAGGCCTAGATGGCAAAGATAAGATAAAACATCTTTTGTAAATGATAATTTTGTTCTTGTACTATAAATGTATCTGAACACCTGCATCACATTGGGCTTGTGTCACGTACTCAACTTAAGTACTAGTTTTACCATAATCATTTTTAGATAGCACTGCACGTGCAGTACTAGTGTACACGTCATTGCATGTACAGTTGGAATTATTTTGTGTGTTTGTTTTTTTTTTTTTTAATTTTTTTTTATTACCCCGTCTCATGAATATGGTGATCAATAAGTTTACAGCCAAGGTTGGGGAGCCTTGGATTCTGCAAACTAATTTGAAAAAGTCCTTATATTAAATATACATCTTGTGAGATGTGACAGGTGAAGTTTTTATAAACAAAAAAGAAAAAAAAACATTCACACATTGGTCATACATATATATATATGCATGCAAGCTTAATCAACTAAATGATGCAAAGAAAAATTAATTGTTTCTATAGTAAGTAGTTGAAAAAGCAGGGTATTTTTAAATGAAACCATTTTACAGTGCATATTCTAATGGTACACAGCTCCATTTTCTATCAAATTTTTCAATTTCACAGTTTTTCTTGTAAATATATTTCTCACATTTATAATAGTACAAAATCTCATTTTTAGCTCCTTCAAATGAAGGAAATTTGTTTTAAACATCTTTCTCGGTATATGTGCTTCCTTACAATACATGTTATCAAATTTACAATGTTATAAAACTTAAAATAATTTCCAACAATTATGTCTAATTTATTCATTGCAATATCAATTCCAGATATTTCTTTTATCCAATCATGAATTTTTTCCCAGATCTCACTAACATATTCACATTCCCAAAGTAAATGTCCCAGTGTTTCTGGGTGTACATTACAAAAAGTACACAATTCTGATTCTACAATCCCAATCTTGTTTAAAAAAGTGTTTGTTGCAAGAATTCTGTGCATATTGGAACCATCTAATTTGCATGTCATTTGTGACTTTAAATATGACTATTTTTAAATCTTCCACCAACTACTGTTTACATCTAGATTAAACTCCTTTTTCCATTTTATTTCACATTTAGGTTTTTTCCAACTAAGATTTAAAAAAGCATTATAAGGTCTTTTGAGCCCTTTTTACTTTTTCGTATTGTTTGCAAAAATTGTGGGTAAACTGGTAAGTTTTTGACAATATAATCTATAATGTAATACAGATCTAGTTTCTTTACACTATTTATAATCCCATAGTACAAAGTAAATGGTGGATGAAAATTGTACCGGTTACAGAACTCTTCATAACACATCAATTCACCAGTGAAATTGTAAAAATCTAATATGTAACACACACCTTTATCAAACCATTGTTTATAAAATATACTTTTGTTATTGATACATATTGATTCGTTAAACCATACAGGACTCAAGATACAATGAGTCTCAATACATTTTCCTAAATCTAAAAATGCTGAAAAAACATCAATCCAAAAAATATTTGTACTAATTTTAATAAGTTTTGCAAAAAAGAAAGACCAAAAACTGTTATCTGTGATAAATTAGGCAAGGTTTCAATTATCAAGTGTTTCCATCCAGACTTGCATGTATCATCATAAAATCGGCGAACCCATGTAACTTTCAGACTTTTAGCAAAAGTTTCAAGACAAATCATTTGGAAACCCCCATTTTCATAGCTTTGAATAAAATCACTCTTTGCAACTCTTGGAGTTTTAGAGTTCCAAACATACTGATAAAAAATATTTTCAATTTCTTTTAATCTTTTTTTGGGGGAGTTGGTAAACAAATTAACAAGTGTGTAATTTTCGGAAGAACCAATGATTTAACTACAGTAATCCGTCCTGCAGTTGATAACATTCTGCGTGACCATGAACTTATTAGTGCTTTTATTTCTTTAAGTTTGGGTGTGAAGTTTAATGCAAACATAGAATGACTTTCTAGATTTACACAATATGTTATTCCTAATACGGTAAAGGGCTTTTGAGACCACTTTAAGTTTTTGACTACCTCTGATATCTCCAAATTTTGTCTTAGTGAGCCTATTTTAAAACAGTGGGGTTTTTTCATAGTTAGGTTTTAATCCAGAAAACTTTGAGAATTGATCAACAAGAGAAAGTGCTGATTTTAGAGAATTTTTGAAACCATCTAGTAGCAGTACTGTGTCATCTGCATATTGAAATAAATTAAATTCCTTACTCACTGTAGTAATGCCGCTGATTAACGAATTATTCCTTATCATAATACCCATTATCTCAGCACAAAGGAGAAATAAATACGGAGACATTGGATCGCCTTGCCGGCAACCTCTACCTATATTAAAAAATTCTGAAAAAATACCAGTCTTAAAGCTATTTTTTAAAAGACTTTAAAAGCAGTGTACCAATGTCTGACCAGAAGAATTTAAAGAACTCAGCAGTAAAACCATCTGTACCTGGTGATTTATCGTTTTTAAAGTTTTTTAGTGTATCAAGTATTTCCTGTTTAGTTATTTCACATCCTAGTTTCTTTTTAGCTTCTGGGGATACCTTTCTTATATCATTTATATTTATTATATCATTTAGGTTTACATCCTCTAATAATTGATCTTTATTGCTATAAAGCGATTTGTAAAAAATTGAAATCTCTTCCAAAATCTCATCTTGTTTATTAATAGTTTTACCTTGACTATTAATCAATCTATTTATATTTTTATTGACATAATTTCTTTTTGCAAGACCAAGGAAATATTTAGTGGGTTTCTCACCATCCTCAATCCACTTACATCTACTCCTTAATAATAGTCCATTTAGTTCATATTTTCTGATTTCTTATAATTCGATCTGTAGGTCATTAAGCATAGTTGAATATATTTCTAAGTGATATGCATTGTACAATTCCATTACAACTTTTATTTGATTTGTAGTTCTTGTTTTCTATTATTTCTTTCCTTAGCTTTTTTAGCTGAATAATACAGAGTCATACTTCTTATTTTCATTAAAAGTATATCCAGGAACAAATCATCAGGGACTGTTAAACTTGATTCAGTACTTGTATTAGATTCAGGGCCTTTGTATTCAGACAGTGTCTCCTTGATTACTTGTTTAACATTTGAAACATAATCCTTATTTCTCAAAAGAGAATTGTTAAAACGCCAAAATCCTTTACGTCGATGGAAATCATTAATTATGACCTCAATTTCTATAATAGAATGATCTGTTTTGTACCCAGGCAAAATTCTAACATCTTCTACTATTGACATTAATTCCTCAGAAATAAGAAAATAATCAAGACGTGCCTGCTTCAATGGGTTCTTTCGATTCCATGTATACATTTTATTTTGTGTTTTAATTGGATTATATTTCATGAAGTTGAAGGGACATATATGACTGTCGGTAAGTACAAAATTTGGTATAGATTTGCCTGAAATAGTCTGAAATGCAACTGGTTATGTTAAAGTTTAAAGGACCAAAGGTCATCAAATTTCACATTCTGAAGAGTTATCGCCCGTTACCGACGTTACATTCAGTTACAAGATACAGAATTTTTTTCTGGGAGGGAGGGGGGGATTTCCAGACCAGAATTTCCTGAGAAGCAAAAAAAAAAAAAAAAAAAAAAAGAGAAGTTATGATGGGCTTTGTTTTCTAGGGTGGAGGGCATCCAAAGTCATTTTTATTTGCTTCAGTGTATATTATAGTCCTGCAAATTCCGAGGGGGGGGGTCTCCCAATCCACTCCCTGTCCCTGTAATGACAAATTGACAAATGATCATGTGACTCCTAAGTAGTAGGAAACTTTTCCATTTGACTATACATAGTTTTTTTGTGTTATTATGTTATGTAAATTTAATGGTATAAAGTTATGAATCCCTGGAGGTCATCCCCACTCTCCTAATGAACTGGAAATGTTCTCAATATGACTGCATTAAATTAAATAAAAGTGCATCAATGATCAGATTGCTTGACAACCTATCCTCCTAGAATTAGGAATGAAAATCATACAAAGAGATGGACCACATTAAAGTATTTGTAGGCTATATATTAACATTTTTTTTAAAATGCAAAAACAAGTCGTAGTTTGCATAGGCCTACATGAATAAACAGAGGTCTGGGAAGGGATGAGGGGAAGGATTGAGTTCATATCTCTTTACGATTAATGGATGAAAACTCCTAAAACGATTGTTGACCTCAAATCTGACTTGTCCTCATTATTTTTCAAGTGGTGCCAGGTGGTGTCTCCATTTGAGTGAAAAATTCCTGAGAGGGATGTTTAACAACAAACAAACAAATGACGTAAAAACACAATATTGATTTGCGTCGAGAAATATGCAGGGTTTTTTCCCATCATAATTAATCTTCTTCTCGAGAACAGCAAGGGCATTATTGTCTCCCGTTTTGGGGAAAGGGAGGGAACATTAAATCTTATTTGTCTGTCAGTCTGTCCATCTTTGCCAGTATATGCATCTGTCACAATTAATTTAACCTTTGTCATAACTTTTGAATAATAAGAGATAGGGCTTTCATATTTCACATGTATATTACCACAAAACTTTCTAAATGTACTATGATTTTTTAACTTTTGATTGAAAAGAGATGGGACTTTCATATCTGACATTTTAC